TAAGCTTTAATCTGATTGAATCAAGAGTATTTTTTCCTGTCGATGTTTTTAAGAGTCTGGACTCTAGATCCAATGTGGTTTTTTTCCAGTGAAGTCTTGATGTGGTAGCCGAGTCTTAGATAGATGAAAAATGCAAAATTTTAGGATTTTTTTTTTTTTTTTTTTTTTAAATTTTTTGATACTGTGCCAATAATTTTCACAGAGAAAGTGAGTGCTACAGTCGCAAATATCCATGAAACGCTTTCTGAATTCATTTCGACATTTTTCAGTCTTTGGGTCGAATCCAGAGACAAATTGATACGACTCTGGTCAGGGAAGTTCTGAAAAAGACGGAACGGTACATAATTTTACAAAACTTCCATCCCTGCAAAATTTTCGGATTTTTCCAGGTTTCCTCCCACAATAATGACAAAATATAAATAAAAAAACCTTTTCCGATCGACAATCTACCAACATTCATCCGAAAAGAAGAAATTTCTACATATTAATCGCGGATTGATTTAAAAAATCACTATTCTTTTTTTTACGACATTTTTCAAAAATCTTAAATCCACTCCTCTTCGAAAACTCAAACAATGGGAAGAATCCTGGTCATTTCCATGAAATTCCCTTGATTATCTCCTGATTTTCTTGACATGCAAAGTTTGGTGGATTCTGCGTTAATCTTGGAGGATAAAAATCTCTCCATTTCTGCCGAACTGAGATTCTGCATTGACCATACGCAACACTACCGGTGATTAGTCATTGATGAGTTCCGAGATCAACAGAGCTATTCTCTCGGTTCCTGCATTTCTACGAATATTACCGAATTTTTATGTTCGGCTCCGCAACAGCGGGAGACATGGGCTCCAAAAAAACATTGGTGACATCTGTGTTACCGAGATAACTATGCTCATCTATTGATACGAACATACTCGTTGCCGGCTCTTGTAAAAAAGTGTCTATTTTATACGTGATGTTACGGGGAAACTTGAGTACACCTTCACAAACGGGCAACACTGATAGGTGAGTCATACAAAAGCTTTGTTGTGCCCATGACTATGTTTACATTCTTGATAATCAAAAAATGCTCGTTCTCTTTCTCACGGGATAGTGGTCAAAATAAGGGCAGTTCCAACTATCATGAATCAAACCCTTAAATAAAGTACATTTTCGGTCAATGAATTTATTGGGTGAGTGTACCTGACAGAAACCTTTATGAGGTCGATCAATATGATACCATTGTGCAACACGATGGTATCATATTGACTGTACAAATCTTTTTTCTCCTCTATGCTGTTTTGGTGATATAGGTATCATTGAATCAATAGTATCCCAATATGAGTCCATATGATAGCATGATGACATCAAACTGGCGTCATTCTGACATCATTTTTGTTAGAATGAATCATGTTAATGCGTCATGACGAAATCATAGGTATAATTCTTCATGCCATTAGTATTAACTACAATGATACATCGATCGACTTTACCAGGGAATGGTGAACGGCAAACAGCACTGCTGCAATTCAAAAATCATTTTTGGAGAAGATGTATTTGAACGAGGATTGAAGTATATGAACTTAAGATATAGTTAAACGAAAAAATCAATGGGTAGTCGGTTTAGGCGGTGCTGACATTAAAACTGACTAGGGGCTTACAGGGCTGCTTCGCAGCCCCTCATTTTTTATGTACACTTTTCCCTTTCACATGTCTTTTTTTTAAATTTATTTTTATTTAATTTTCTGGTTTGTCTTTGAATAGGTCCTAATTTTTTCTTTGAAGTAATAAATATAACAATTTTTTTCAAAAATTGTAAGTTTATTTTGTAAACTTTAAATCAAAATTTTTTTAAACCTTTCATACAAACTTCTTTTTAAGCTTTTACCTATGTTTTCAAACTAAGTTTTTAGTATCGGTTTGTTAATCGTCTAAATACTTTACTCTGTTTTCCTTTTAATTGTTGCTTCTTCTTTTCCGATTTCTGGTCTGCTTTTTTTCAAATTTTTCCTTCAACTCTTCTCTTTTTCGTTCCTCCTTTTGAAAAGGAAATAACTAACAGCGTGAAACGTTCTGATTGGAAATGAGAAAGAAAAATTGGAGGTTATTGACTTGATGAGGAAAAATTGGAAATAGGAAAAAGATGGAGCCAATCACGATTTGGGAGTAAAATTGGAGAAAAAAAAAACGCGGGAAAAGAAAAATGTAAGTTGATGGCAGTTAAGTGTTGGAGGTAACCTCATTTAATGATGATTGTTAAATGAAAACAGCTGATAAAAAGACAGCAAACAGTAAAGTAAGATGCGTAGCAACAAAACTTTTCCGAAAAACAAAAAAGAAAAAAAAACCCCACTTCCCCTCATCAAATTTATGAGTTTTTAGGGATTTAAAAATCGGGGACAAACCCCAGAAAATAATTTATAATTTTCCCGAAGCATTGAGTACAACGCCTTTCAAATGAACCAACGCCCCTCGCAATTAGTACAGAGGTTAATTTACAATTTCATTCTATTTTTCAATTTATATATTAAGATGACATCGAGGGTTCGCGTGATCAAATCGCCGAAAACTATGTGTGAAGCAGGTAAAAATACACAAAAATTAGAAAATAAGTTTATCAGAAATATTAATCCCTACAGAAAGCCACATGAGGGAATAAAAGTTCCCGACTCAAAGAAATTCAGATCGACGAGGTGATAAACCTCTAGAAAGGAGGAATAATTGAGGAGGTGGTGGTGGATGCAAGAAGGCTCCTCGGTACATAAGGGCGCCATTGAGCTATATAGGCTCTCTTGCTCTCTTGCACCTACTTCTTCAATTCACATTCGACGGACCGAGAGAGAGGGTGATGACCGAGAAATAACAGTAGCGTCTCTTTTCAGCGCAGCCTAAAATGTCTGGTCTCTGGTAGCAGGACAAAGCTCTCGACCGCAACCTGTTCACCCGTCGTCGGGAGGGTAAACTAAGTTGCTTTGCCATACTGACAGAAAAATTAAACATTTTCAAAACACAACTTTCAGCTTCTATTTTTCTTTTTGAGGCATTATCTATAGGGAACAACTCTATATTTCTGCTCTAGCAAAAGTTTGCAACAGGCCCATTCTGCCGTACTAAGGAAGAACGCCGTATGAACATTCAAGAGTTGCCAAATTTCCTTCGACAAAATGTTTATTTTTGAGGAATTTTATGGATTTTTCCCCCTAAAATTTTCAGGGACTACAGGTAAAATTGCGAACAAAATAATCCGAAAAATTGGAAGAAAAATATTAATAAGTTTACCACTAAATTTGTGTTTTGTCGAAGGAAATTTGGCAACGCCTGAAGGTTTATACGGCGTTTTTCCTTAGTGCGGCAGCATTAGCGGCGTGCATCGCACTCTCGGAATTTGAGACAAGATTCCCATCGCGAAATTCGGCAACGTCGGTGGATGGCAAAGGCATTGAAATGCTCACGCGCGGGTGAGAAACCCTTTCGCGGATGATTTCCCGCGGACCCTGGGAAAACGGGGCTCGCGCCGATGAAAGGAAAAGGTCCCGTTGGCCCGGGCCAGTTCCAGTATTTCTGCGAGCGGCCGAGGCAAACACCCGGTCATCGAACCTGATTTTGGCCTCATCCGTAGGCATCCGCTGATCCTTGCCTGACTCCTTCAATTCAACGGGGTTTCACAGCCTCTCTATTAAACTGCCGTGCTAAGGAAAAACGTCGCATGAACCTTCAGGCGTTGCCAAATTTCCGCTGGTAAATCACGAATTTTCGGGAAAACTTGTATAGATTTTTCTTCAAATTTTTCAGATGATTTTGTTCGCAATTTTACCAAAAGTTCTTGAAAATTTCTCGGGAAAATATTCATAACTTTCCTCAAAAATTAACTTTTTATCGAGGGAAATTTGGCAACTCTCGAATGTTCATACGGCGTTCTCCCTCGGCACGGCAGTATTAAGGAGAGCCTTCGTCTGGATCTTGAGGGTCTCTTTCGACTTTCTATGCTCCAAATTCGCACGCAGTATTTTCAGAGGATTAAGATATTAAGGCCGATGGTTTGACTTTCCCCACGTATAATCTGTTTGCGCCGCAGATCAGTGAGCCCTAGACGTTATGGATAGAATATGGTTTGTTCGGGGTAAGAAGTTGATGTTCACGAAAAGGCACTCGAGAATTGTGTCGAATTATGGTAAAATTAAAAGGTTGGGGAATACCGAATGTGTGCGCGGGCGCGGGCGTACAATAACCATGCTCTAGTGGCTCCTAAAACTTGCTGGTTCTAGCGCATATCGCAATTTCAATAAATTGATCGATCAATGTGATAATCTTTGATTAACCATGATAATGGTGAACCAGTGGCGTGGCGTGCTTTGCGATATATCGATTGTCATTTCATTTGAAACTATTTAAAAGGATCGATAGACAGGGTGTTCGCAGCGAACACCTTAATAATCGATTCTTTACCGTAGGTTTAAATGGCATGACAATCGATAAATCGCAATTCACGCCACGCCACTGTGGGGAACAAGTTTGACAATGGTGGACAATTCATGTTTATGATTAAGAAAAGTTTTTGTAACCGTCCACGAAAAGAGGGGCGTAAGTGCTAAAAAGCTTAAAATTGACGTATTGGCACCGCTGCTTAAGGAATTGTTCCATTGAAATGTTTGCAAGAAAAAAGAGATACTTGTTTCAGCAAACCAGAATTCTGTGGATTTGGAGTTGAGATTTTTAAAAAAAAACATAGTTTTGACTTATCAATCATGCTCAGATCTTAAAATTATAGATGTAAAATGCAATTCCACACTCTCTTGGGATACAAACATAAACAAAATTGATCAGTTGAGGTCGGGATATCACAGTATGTTTCCACCAAGAATTCAAATTCCGTTTAACAGACCGAACGTGACAAAAATGGCCCTCCTGAAAAATTGCATCTGTGTGATAAGGTCACTTCTTTCGTGAACGGTTACATTTGTTAGATACTTCTGAATGTCCAGATATTAGTTTAAAAAATATTTAACTTGTATAAAATTTACCTGAAGGTGGCGACGACGTTGTTGGAGGGCCAGCCGATGACAAAGGAGGTGTCCGGGGACCTGCCAAGTTTGGTGACGTCACCCATGGCGCTTTTCGTGAGCCACAACTCAGACATCCGATCTTTTTCCTTGAGGTTGGACCGAGAATTAGTCACCAGGAGCAGGTCGTCCAGGAGAAACAAGTGTCTGTCCGGGCTCTGAACTCCCTGAAAGTAAAAATGGAAAATATTTTGAGTTTTCCTTCAAAACCAAATTTATTGTCAAGTCTTTAAACTTTCAAATATTTTCCGGTCAGGCATGATCTGAAAAAAAATCCTGAAGAGGAGACGAAACTTAGCGTTCTCCCTACTCAACAACTTTAGAATCTTGTGTCATGAACGAGTGATAAACTGCCGTGCTAAGGAAAAACGCCGCAGGTATGAACACTTGAGAGATGCCAACTTTTCTCCAGTAAAAAGTTCGTTTTTAAGGAGAGTCATAAGTATTTTCACTTGAAATTTTCAGATAATTTAGATCTGATTGCGAGTGAAATTCTCAAAGAAAATAATTATAGGAAAAAGATTCACAGATTTCCCAAAAAATTCGTATTTATACGGAGAAAATATGGCAACGTCTGAAGGCTCATACGGTTTTTTTCCTTAGCACGACAGAAGATGCGCTGGAAAAAAATGGATCCTTTATCACAAGAAAACTGTAACATCAGTATCGATTTTTAATCCGCCGAGATAAAAGCTTGTTGCGCCTAGAAAGTGACTTAAAACGCCACTTAGAATCTTTGTGACGACAAAAATTTTCTAATCGTGATAACATTTTCTCTTCGAAACATGAAATTGTTTGATCTTATCACGCTTTCCCTTTCCTGAAACGAGGACAATCTTCCTTGTCAAAGCGGCTTATTTTTCTTCCATTCCGATTCCGAACTCCATGTTAAACATCTCCATTTCCACCTTCAACTAGTTCCAACAAGGAGTTAGAGATGGAAGTAAAAGTCACCTGAGTCGACAAACGCCTGTAAAAACATCAGAATGGGTTTCCGTCGTAGAGAATAAATTGCCTCGCCCGATGAAAAAGTCATTCTAATAGTTCTAAGTCACCCCCTCTTTAAAAAGAGACATAAGCAGCCTTTGAAAAAACGAGCGACACAACCCGTTCTTGCGACTGCGAGGGCGCGACAGAATGGGGAATCCATGAATGGACGTAAAAAGTTGAATGAATCCCGGGTGTGCGTCAGGAGTTAACTCACAACCATGACAGTTCAAATCGATAGAATCCCCTGTGATATATGCCGTGCTAAGGAAGAACGCCGTATGAACATTCGAGAGTTGCCAAATTTCACTCGATAAAAAAATAATTGTTGAGGAAAGTTATGAGTATTTTTCCGAGAAATTTTCAAGAACTTTCGGTAAAATTGCGAACAAAATTATTTGAAAAATTGGAGGAAAACACTGGTAAAAAAAAACCCCTTTTGGCTCAAGAGTGCAGTTTCCTGTCGCCGGATTTAAGAGTCTGGACTCTTGTTTCAATGCAAAATCCGCTCGAATCAATGCAAAATCCGCTTGAAACAAGAGTTCAAGACTCTTAAATCCGGCGACAAAAAAGTGCACTCTTAAGTCAATGCAATGCGGCATTGGTCCAAGAGGTTTTTTTTTACCAGTGAATCTTTACAAATTTTCCCGAAAATTCGTGATTTACCAACGGAAATCTGGCAACGCCTGAAGGTTCATACGACATTCTTCCTTAGCACGGCAGCATACCACGCAACATCGAATGTCTAAATCCAAGGCATCGCAGTTCGATTAATCGCGATGTACTTCTCTGGTAGCGGGTGGTGATGAATGGACTGTCGTCGCAGACGTCACTCGGATTAGCTTGGGACCCTCTTAATTAAGGGGTGTCAGGGGGGTGCACGGGAGGNCGGGAGGGGCGGGGGTCCGAGCCCCGGACCGGATATACTTAGGCCCAATTAAATTCCAATCATTTAGCCCCGCGCCTCGATCTACAAGATGGATGATTGATTGAGGATTAGTTCGGGGAATGACGTGCGTATGAGGTGACCGTGTGCGCAAGAACATCACCGGACATCGTTCACTCTTAAGACGATTTTTTCTTCTTCTTTTAAGCCGTACGACACGATCGACCCTGGTAAAAATGTTGAAGGAAAATTGGCCGCATTCGCCTTTGAAACAGATCTAACAACTGACCTTGGTTTTGGTCATGTACATACGGAGAAAAAAACTTCGTGCGTGGGACCCGAAGTTTAGGTCATATGGATCTCTGAAGTTTTCGGATTGAGCATCTGAACACTTAAGGTCTAGCTGCCGAAGTTCAGGTCTGACATCTGAAGCTTCAGTTCTTACATCTGAAGTGCTTCAAGTCTTACATCTGAAGTACTTCAGATAAGAGAACCGAAGTTTTTCGGATGTGAAAACCGAAGTACTTCAGATGTAAGAACTGAAGTTTCAGATGTGTGATCCGAACCTCGACAGCTAGACCTTTAATGTTCAAATGCTGAATCTGAAAACTTCAGAGCTCCATATGTCCTAAACTTCGGGTGCCACGCACGAAGTTTTTCTCTCCATGTACCTTGATCACAGATGGATTACAGCAGAGTTTAGGATACTCGTTTTAAAAAAAATCTAAAAATTACCGCGTTTTCTCTATCTTCGTCGTTAGCTTTACCTGAGCTTGGGAAATCGTGCTTTTTCTTTGCATTTTTTTCTTAATCGATAAAAAGAGGAGAACTAGATTTACGTTGATAATGAACTTGGTAACTTGATATAATTCATTTGACTTCAATATTCGGCTCGCGGTATTTGTAGTTGATCCATTCTTAACAGTACAAGATGCTTCGATTCTTTGAATTTTAAAGCTTCTTGGTTTGTCTCTAATTTGTCGAGGTTTCCAATTGAAAAAAATTCTGGGGATGTTGCCCGCATGAACGCGTTTCAAGACGCATACTCAGCGCAAAATTAGAGTTCTGTTGATAAAAAACACCGATGTTAAATCGACGATTCAAAAATATTGACCTAACAAGAAAATTCGAGGTCTGATGGAAAAATGTCCAGAATTTTTGTACCTAAGTGAAATTTTCTGACTTTTACTCTACAGGTCTCTCCTGACTCTTCAAGAGCTTGTCATTTTCGTATACGATGTTGATTTGTGCTACACAGATTTTGTGCTTTAAAGTGTCTCCAATTGTGAGCAGGAGACAGTGCGCTTCGGCTGCCTCCGAATAAAGGATCAGTAAGAAAGAAGCAGAGTCTGGACAACAGCATAATGGCTATGCATTCCGTCTGGCCACGTCCTGGGCGCCCGAAAAATGTCCCGAAGGCGACTGGGCGACCGGAAGCTTACCTTATCTCATCTCTGTTTGGGCTCAGGGTGTCAACGCACTTGTTGCATACTAATCCGCCGGTCTCCAGCGCCGAGTCGAAAACCGCGTACCTACCCCAACTTTAAACGACAGTTACACGGTTTTTGGTCGGTGGGCGTCCACCGCCCAGACTCCGGGATACCCAGAAACACCGGGTTCCGCCGAAACAACGCAACTGCGGGTGGCCGCCGCGGCGGATGACCAATTGACCACCCACACGTTGTCGAACCGCAAGGAAATTGCGGTATTTCCGACCGGAAGAAGCGACAACAGGGCGCCGCTGGTATGAAATGAATCATGAGACGTGGACAGAGCGATGGAGCATGTGCGAAGAGGGGAGGAATGAACCCCGGGAGGGAGGGGGTATTCGTGCAGTAATTGAAATCCGCAACCGACACGACAAAACGTAAGAAGCTTGCCAATTATCCGATGTTGTCATGTTAGTGGCCGTGCATTGTTCCGTATGCGCTCACCGCAGGAAATGGCTTTTGCTTGGCAGACCGATAATTGTCGGGTGGATGAAAATGATTCGAAGAGGATTTTGGATTTCGCTCGATGCATTTTGAGTGCGATGTGCATGCTGCTGACAGAGCTATAAGGGGTGGCAATTTATGAAAAATCGACAAGTCTTTTTCAGTGCGAGTCATTACGAGATGATTGTACCGAAAAATACAATTCACAATTTCGTCGACAGTCGAAAGAAGAAAAAAAAAAAAAAACAGTCGAAGTATGTCTTCAATAATATCACCATTGACATCGATGATCAAAATCGATGGTCTCTTTTTTAAAGCACCTTGATTTGCTTGATTACAATCTGAATGAATATGCCTTAATGATGAATCTAGGANCCCTTAAAAAACCGCAAAAATTCGATTATTTTTCAAAAATCTCAAACACTCTACTTCGAAATTGGCCAAAACCCCATCAGGCAGTACCCTACTACAACTTACAATTTGAATTTTTGATTTTGAATGGAAATCACACTCCGAAACCTTCATTTTATCATTAAATTCCATATTTTGGAGTCCGCAACTTGGCAACGCTGCCGCGGGAGCAAAAAAATTTGTATGGGCATGAAAATTTCAGAAAAGTCCCATCTTATACCAGGTAAAAACATACTAAAAATTCAGATCGGTCAAGGCAAGGATGAGGGAGAGGGGGCTTAATTTGTCGCCCGGAGGCCAATTTTGCTATTTTACCCCTAAAAAACCACAAAAATGCGATTATTTTTCGAGGAGCTCCGACAACCTGTTTCGAAATTGCCCAAAAACCCATCAGGGAGTACCCCACTACAACCTCCAACTTGAATTTTTGATGTACAACAAAGTCGCATTTAAAGTGAGTTCAGGGGCACCGTGTACCGTGATCACAGATGGATTACAACAGGGTTTAAGATACTCGTTTCAAAAAATTCTAAAAATTTCCGCGTTTTCTCTATCTTCGTCGTCTACTTTACCTGAGCTTGGGAAATTGTGTTTTTCCTTTGCATTTTTTCTCTTAATCGATAAAAAGAGGAGAAGTAGATTTACGTTGATAACGAACTTAGTAACTTGATATAATTCATTTATCATCAATATTAGGCTCGCGGTATTTCCATTCTTGACAGTACAAGGTGCCTCGATTCTTTGAATTTTAAAGCTTCTTGATTCGTCTCTAATTTGTCGAGGTTTCCAATTGAAAAAAATGATGAAATTTCAACTTTTTTTTTTTTTTTTTTNCTTTTTTTTTTTTTTTTTTTTTGGAGGATGACAATACTTCCTCTCTACCCTATGGGAGCGAGAAAGTAAAAATTCGGGGATGTTGCGCGCATGAACGCGTTTCAAGACGCATACT